GCTGTTCACACAGGGGACATTCTGCTTCTTTCATATGTTCAAAATAGAAGCACAAATATGGAAGGGAGATAAGCTTGTATTTATTGAGCATTTATTATATATATATATATGCCAGACCCTGCAAGACCTCTTCACATGTATTGTGCCAACTGCATCTCTCAGTGACCTAAGTCTCATCTTTAGTTCATAGGTATAAAATCTGAGGGTTAAGAAGGATTCTCAAGGTCACAGGGTTAAGGGACACAACTGTGATATTAAATGAGATCTACTGATGCTTAAGTATGTACCATTCTTACTCTTTTCTGTTTTTCATTGAAAAATTTGAAGGCCTCAATACAAATGTTCAGAATGGTCAAGAAAAGAACAACACGGGTCCAGTCAACAAGTATTTGCGATATGTAAATACTGTCGCAATGGAATTTATATGGGGAAGACAGATAATAAATAAGTAATAAATAAATGCAAAAATAAATACGTGAATGCAAAAATAAAGTAATTCGAGACTGCGAGAAAAGGTAGGAGGAATATAAATAGAAAACGGTCATGGAGATCTATTTTAGAGTGGACATTTTTAAGTAAAATATGAGAGATTCAGTAAAGTTGCAGTGAGTTGATCTTGTGTGTGAGATGCCAGAACATGAAAGCTGGGCCTTGTGATCTTGAACGGGGTTCGGGGAGGTCATGTGGTGAGTGAGGGGAATTTGAGAGGTCGAGTTCCCTTCCCAAGCGGGCTGGGTCCCTTTGGGCAGAGGGAACACAGAGGTGAAGTCAAGGCTCATCTGCCTCCTTGAAATCAAAACGCCTGTGTGTTGTCCAATGAGCTTCACAGCCTCCCTCCCTTCTCTAAATTTTATGTAACTCCAAGGAAGTGCGGCGTCCTGGTTGGGGTCTCAGCGGTGGGTGAGATCTGGTGGTCTGGGGGATGGGAGCATCTGCAAGCACACTCCTGTGTCACCTCTTATGGAGTCAGCTTCCTCCCTGCACCCCCCTCCCTCTGCCCTGCTTCATTAATTGCGTTGCATCCCATCATTGCAATTTAATGACATTTAATGACACTTCTCTGCCATTTTAGTGCCAGCCGCGCTCGGAACGTAAGCCTCGATGCAAGGATTAAGAGAGGGCGGCCAAAGCCTCCAGGTTGCCAGTTACTTGGCTAGAAATTTCATTCACACTGGGAAACAGATTTTTAAAATAAATTTGGCACTGGGAGCAATGCCATCCTTTTGTAAAGCTATGTCAATAATCATCAGCCCTCATAATTATGCACCCCTGCCTCAGTCCTCGGCCAGGCCGTCAAATATTTGGGTGTCAGCATATCCTCACGATGCCACCTTCTGTTGACCCTGTGGGATTCTCTTGCTGTTTGGGTTGGCACTGGAGCACGATCTTGTTTTATGTAATAAGGCACATGAGAGAGAAGCCCTTTGTGCTTTGCCTCTCCGAGTGGGTGCTGAGCAAGAGGTCCTGTGTACCCCATCATTTTCGGTACGGGCAAAGCTAGTGAACATTTCTGTGGCCTGGCAAATGTTTTCTAACTATTGGCAAGGTTTGTTTGTTTGTTTGTTTTTTCCAGTGCCATTTTGCCCCAGGGCTAGGATCACAGTGACCCAGCTTTGGTTTAGGATGAGTGTTGCAAATATATGTGTGTGTGTTATGGGGCGGGGGTTGGGGGTGGGTGGGAACTACAATGTTTTCAGAGAAAACAGGCGTGGGTGTGACACGGGCTGATGTAATGTAGTCCTGCAGATGCCAAGGAGGGTTACCCTTTGCTGATTGTACCAATAAGAGGGCAAAGCTTGTCGAGATCTCCAGAAACATATGGAATATTCTGTCTTTCTGAGAAGGCTTGTTGCTAGCATGTAACATAATATAGAGCCCATTTTCAGATATATTTTGAATTTTTTGCTTTAGAATATCAAGGGAAAAGGCCATTTAACATCGTTGGCCACAGCTTTATTATTCATATTGCTCCCTCTCATTAATTTTTTTATAACTGTATTAAATGTTAGCATCAAGGGCCTGGCAGCCTTGCGAGGTAGAACAGATTGCTTTGAAATCAACACAGCTGGAAACTGACCACATATTGTTTTTCTTTCTTTTAAGAAATGAAAGAAGCATTTATAGCAAGGCCAGAGAATGCTGTACTGTGCAGAGCTACTTTATAGGTTTATTCCTCCAAGTCTGGTAAATGATTAATGTCACGCCCTGGTGTCCAAATGGGCCCAGGTCCCTGCTCCCTTCCTGAAATTGCAGTTCCCAGGGAACAATAAACTCTCGAGGTTTGCTGCAACCCTCACTTGAGGGGGTGGAGTCTGTTCGGTGCTGCTTCTCTCTGCTCAAGTGTGGTCTTCGGAGCCAAGGATGCCTTCTGTGGGGTTTTCTCTGCTAGCCCTCCTTGCAGCCCTGAAAACCTCATCAGTCACTCCTGCCGGCTTCGCACTGGGCTGCGCTTCCCGCAGTGGGCACGTAAGTGAATTAGGGAATGTGTGTTTGTGATCCACTTTTAAAAACGAAGGCAGGATATTTTCTAACCGTGTAATTCAACTAAGTCCTGTGTCTCCTGGAACTATTTTTTTTCTTGTTGCTGTCAGAGAGAATCAGGGGTCTCTTTTCTCACACTTCAAAGGCTTTATTGTTGTTTTGGTCAATTATTCCATTAGTCTCTATGCCAAAAGGTTTCTCTTTTTCTCTCATTTTACTGTTTCTATGTATAGGCATGTTGGGATGATTTGTGGTTGCAGTGTAATAATCGATTGCCATTAATGAATTGCTAATAATTAATTCCTAGGGTGTAATATTTAAAAGTTTCTCAAAAGGAGGTTTTCTCCATAAATAGCTATTTCTCTTAATATCTATCTTGTAAGAGCTGGATTAGAAATGAAGGAGAGAGACGTAAGAATCAAAGAGTAACTTTTGCTTTTGGTTTGCCGAGATGGCACCTGGGGAGCCTTTTTCACAGTTAAATATATTTTACTATTGTTTAGTTTTATCTTTAGACCATCAAGGGAAGGATAGGGTTGTATCTGTTGGAATACCTGAATTACCTGTCATCTGTATTGGCGTATGTCCGTTGTTACCTGGACAAGTTGAATTCATTATTTATTTCTTACTAGAGTGTCTCATTTAAAGTAGCATTCCCCATCTGTTTGGCTGAGGCTCATAAATGGGAATCGTGGGCATTGGGCTATGTCTCTAGTATTCGGATTCTCACAATCAGATCCCACACTTAGTATTGTTCCGGGTACATAATACAGTTCTTTGCATTGTCGATAACTCACTAACTTAGTAACCTGTGCCTAATGGCCACCTGACCTGCAGGAGTAGGAAAGTAAATGATGAGTTTTGAATTTTATAAAATGTATAAGTAAGCCCCAATGAGGAGAGAATTAAGAAAACCCGTTATCACGAAAGTGGCCCTAAAAGGCTTTCTCTATGTTGATTACTCTCCAGCATATTTTTTCCAGGCATTATTCAACTTGGCAGAATTGATCTAGATTTGGGATTTTGAATGCATGGGGGGGAAAAAAAAGACTCAATTATACATTACATTGCACTTTGATAATATGACCAGTTCTGTTTGTGAATTTCTCAGATGACATTTTTTTAACGTGGTGGTACAGATTCTTTAAATAATCATAATTAATAGCTACTTAAATGATCTCGGTGCTTTTTCAAGTTATCTCATTTGATTCTCATAGCAGTCCAGAGTAGATATCAATGTTACCTCCTCATTTTATAATTGAGGATATTGAGCGTCAGGGAGTGACTCTGAGGTCACTGGGTCAGTGGATGAACGAGGTGTAAGCTGGGTTTGTTTTTTAAATCTCAAAATCTCGTCCTCCCTCCCGGCCACCCCGTTCATCTCTAAACCGCTTCCACCGTGGAATAGTGGAAAGAGCTCTGACCTGGGCGTCTGGAGACCTGGATTCCGATTCAGCGGGGTCAGAGTTGCCTCTGAAATGCTGAGCACTCCCCGAAGCCTTCGGATGTCATTTTCCAGCAAGGAAGTTACAGCGTTTGATTTCTTAAGTTCCTTTACAGCTTCAGATCTCCATCCAGGGCCTGTCCGGGGCTTGTGTGCGGATGCCGAGTCCCGCAGTGCTCACCCGCAGTGTAGAGAAGAGGCGAGGGAGAAGGTGGAGCCGCGGGCATCCCTTCTACCCAGCTCGGCTTCGGCGCAAAGAGGCACCGATCTCTTTCGCCGAGGAAAATCCTGCGCCCTCACACGACGATTTTCTCTGATCTGCTTCCTGAGCTGGCATTTCTCAGTCTGTTCTTTTTTACTCATCAACAAAAGTATCTGAGCCAAGCTCTCTTGTGGTTTCAGCCCAGGGATGAACACATCAGTTACGTTCCCAACTGGCTCCCAAACAAGCGATAACCTCCTGTGTGAGCCCATCGCTATCTTAATCCTTTTTGGAACAGGGCAAATGTAAATAAACATCACTCTCCTCCTCTCTTTGGCTTTTCGTCTTTCGGGCAGGTGGTTGAGAATGGGCAGGGCCGACAGTGGGAAAGTATTTTTCATTTTACCTCCATGGTTAACTCTATTGGTTGCTCACAGATCAGTTTAGAAAATTGTGGGATACGGGGGTCAGGTGTCTACATTGGACTAACATTAGAAAGCAAAAAAAAAGATCTATAAGCAACACCATCTACCATCACCGTCATTGTGTACGGGAAAGAAGGAGACGCTAGAATGACATGCTGTCATCAGGGAGGGAGGGCAGGCCTTCCTCCCTGAGAAGAGCTGGCATTCCTACGCGGACGTTTGCACCCTGGGCTGGTGGAAAACTCATCCCTGACCGCAGCCTGCATGCATTTGGGAAGCTCTGCTCAGCCTGCTGCCTGGGTGCTTGTCACTCACAGACTTCCTGGGCCGGCCGTTCTGAATGGGGAGATGAGAGCTGCATCAGCCCTTTTCTTCCCCTGACATCCCTGCCCGTGCGCACATGCTATGATTTAGACTGTAAACTGTATCCTTATGTCTTTCTCCACAGGCAAGAAGCGAAACCCTGGCCTTAAAATTCCAAAGGAAGCATTTGAACAGCCTCAGACCAGTTCCACGTGAGTTGGCAAGATCGTCATCCTCTTAACCCAGACACTTTACAGATTTCTAGGGAATGGGGGTTCATTTTTGGACAGGCGAGCCATACCTGGACTATGGAAATCATTTTTAGAAGAACCCTTTAAAGGGGAAGCCACGTGCTCACTGTTCTGAGACCTGAACTAAACACACTTGGTCAGTCAGTCTATGTTGAATAGGTGGCTTTGAACTCAGTGTCTCACATCACTGGTTGGCTGAAAATTCCGTGTCACAACCGCATTTGGCAGATGAGGTCCTGTGTAAGTCCAGAAAGGCCCCTGGATGTGGACTTTTTGCCTTTTCCATAGGATTTGAGCAAACAAGTAAATCCTTATGAGGGCTACTACTCTGAAACTAGGATTGAGATGGAAAATGGTATTCGGTGAGGACTTAGCATCCTGACACCTAAATCCTGTCCCATATAAACAGAAGGCGAAATGAGGTAAAGGAACATTTTTCTATTGGCTGAGGCTTTGGCCCAGATCCCCAAGTGAGTAAAGTCCCAGTGAAGCAGGACACCCTCTCGCCCAGGCTCCCGCTTGTTCGCTGGCTGTCTGTGGCATGGGGGCGGGACTCCTCTCCAGCTGGAGGCGTCGCCGCCTACCACGGCAGGTGTGGGGAGGAATGGAAATTCCAAGGAAAAGAACACAGCAGAGGTCCCAGAGAGGCCAGACAAGTACAACGGAGGCCGTCTCAACGGAAGCCTGAGCTTTAAGGCTTTTGCTCATCTCTGCAAAAGCGCCTCCCTTTGTAAAGGGTTTTTGATCTTCGCTGCCATCCATCCTATCAGAGAGTGCACCCCCTGGGTTTGGAATGTGCTAGTAACATTGAACGTGTCACATTCCGTACCTCAATATACACAAACTTTCCACTGAAGAACCTCCAGAACAGAGTGGAGGGTTCTGGACTGTCACCCAAGGGCCAAATGCGTCTTGGACTGTACCATTCGTGAGGATCTGCGGTCCTTCCGTGTCTGCTACCGGGACTGTGGTTTTGTTTTTGGTCCCTCTGGGTATTTTTTTTTTTCTCCCTGTGAACTCTGTAATTAATAACTTTTTCTCTCCAATTGATTTCTCAAGAGCATGGAGCAATGTGTGGCTTCTCTCTACAATCCGTATAGGACACTTGAAAAAAAAATGTTTATTTTATAATAATTGTAGATTCATAGGAGGTTGCAAAGATATGTACAGGGAAGTCCTTTGTCCTTCGCCTGGCTTCCTTCTCCTATTCAGTGTTAACATCTTGCACAACCGTAGTACAATATCCAAACACAAAAAAAGGGGCATTGATTTAAATCAGGGATCCCTAACCTGTGGGCCGCAGGCCGGTTCCGGTCCGTGGCCTGTTAGGAACCGGACTGCATAGCAGGAGGTGAGCGGCGGGTGGACAAGCGAAGCTTCATCTGTGTTTGCAGCCGCTCCCCAGCGCTAGGCTAGCATCATGGCCCCAGATCCACCACAAATCTCACGAGGCACTAATTAGATTCTCAGAGGAGCACCGGTCCCTAGTGCCAAAAAGGTTGGGGACCGCTGGTTTAAATCATAGAGCTTATTCAAATTTCATCAGGAATACAAACGCTCACTTGTGTGTATGTGTGTATGTGTGTGTATGCAGTTTTTTCACATGTGTAGCCTTATAACCATAATCAGGATACTCTACTGTATCAACACTACAAGACTCTTTTCTGTTATTCCAAACTACGCCCACTTCTAACTCCCTATCCCAGTAGTCCCTAATCCCTGGCAACCACTAATCTGTTTTCCATCTCCATTTCGTTATTTCGTGATTATTATATAAATAGAATCATGTATCTTTTTTGAGGTTGGCTTTTTTCATGCAGCATCATTTCTTTGAGGTTCATTCAAGTCGTTGCATGCATCAATAGTTCATTCCTCGTTACTGCTCAATGCCATTCTGTGGTCTGGATATACCAGTTTGTTCAACCCTTTAACCTTTGAAGGAGAGAGACTTTTCGGCTTGAGGCTTTTATGAATAAAGCTGCTATGACCATTCACGTACAGGTTTCCTCATACAAAATGTTTCATTTTTTCGAGATATATGTCCAATAGTGTAATGACTAGGTCATGTGTTAAGTTTATTTTTAGTTTTGAAAGAACTGCCAAAATATATTTCAGAGTGATTTTACTGTAATTGGTCTTTTCATCCTTTTATTTTGATGAAGTTGTCTATCAGTTTTTTTTCTTATGGATCATGGTTTTGGTGGCAAGTTTTAGAACCTTTTGCCTTGTCCTAAGTCCTAAAGATTTTTCTCTTATGTTCTTTTCTCAAAGTGTTATGGTTTTACATTTTAGATTTATGTCCATGATGCATTTTGAGTTTAATTTTTGTACAGGGTGCCAGGCAGGTTTAGGCTGAGCTTTATTTTTTTGGCAATGGATTTTCAATTGTCTTAGCACCATTTGTTGAAAAGGCTAGCCCTCCTCCATTTAATTGCTTTTGCCCTTTGTCAAATATTAATCGAGCATATTGTTTGGATCTATTTCTGGGTTCTCTATTCTGTTCCATTGATCTGCGTGTCTGTCCCATTGCCAACATCATACTGTCTTGATCACTGCAGCTATACAGGTATATGTAAGCCTTAACATTGGGAAAAGTGATTCCCGCCCCCCCCTCCACCCCCCCCCCCCCAGTTGGTTCTTCTTTTTTCAAAATTATTTTGGCTATTCCAGGGCTTTTCTTTCTTTCTTTCTTTCTTTCTTTTTTAATCTAGGTTTTAGAATAAGCTTATCTATGTCTTTAAATAAACTTGCTGAGATTTTGATAGGAATTGAGTCTAACCAATAGATCAATTTAGGGAGAATCAACACCTTTTACTACACGGAGTCTTCCAAACCACGAATGTGGTCAATTTCTTCAAGTATTTAGATTTTCTTTGATTTTTGTCATCAGTATTTTATAGTTTTCATCATAAAGGTTCTCTACATTAGGTTTTATTAAGATTTACACCTAGGTATTTCATTTTTGAGGCACACTTTTAAATGGTATTCCCTTTTTGATTTTGTTTATTCTCTGTATGTAGAAATGAAATTGATTTTCTGTGTTGATTTTGTGTCCTGTGACCTTACTAAAATCACTTATTAGTTCTAGGAGCTTTTCATAGATTCCTTAGAGTTTTCTATGTAAACAGCCATGCCTTCTGCAAATAGAGAGCATTTTATATTTTCCTTTCCAAACTGTATTTTTTAAAATTTTCTTTTCCTACCTTATTTCAGCGGCAGGAATGTCCTGGACTGTGTTAAATAAGATTGATGAGAGAGGCAACCTTGCTTCGTTCTGCATCTTGGAAAGCATTTAATCTGTCACTCTTAGGCATGATGTTAGTTTTTTATAGATGCTGTTCATGAGGTTGACGAAGTTCCTCTCTGGTTGTAATGTATTGAGAGTTTTTATCATGAATATGTATTGATTTTTGTTGAATGCTTTTTTGTGCATCAGTTGCTACGACCATAGGTTTTTTTCTTCTCTGTCCCACTGATACAGATTATAATGATCGATTTTTAAAATATTGAACCAGCCTTACATACCCAAAATAAATCCCACTTGGTTGTGGTATATTACTTTTTTTATATATTGTTGGATATGAGCTGCTAAAGTTTGGTTGAAGATTTTTGTCTAAGTTCATGAGAGTTTTTGGTCTATAGTTTTGTTTTTTGTGGTGTATCCTTTTTTCTGGTTTTGTTATTAAGATAATACTGCCCTCATAAGTTGGTAAGAGCTCTAATTTTCTGGCAGACACTGTATGAAATGTTCTTTTATTAAAATTTTTTTGCGATATAATAGACATAATATCTTAGTTTCAGAAGTACAACATCATAATTCAATGTATGCAATTCTTTTTTTTTAATGTTTTCAAAAATTTTCAGTGAAACTAAATGGATTTGGGCATTTCTTTTTCTGGAGCTTTTAAACTATAAATTCATTTTCTTTAGTAGTTTTAGGACTAGTCAACTGATCTATTTCATCATGGATAAGTTTTGGTAGCTTGCAGTTTTTAAGAAATTGGTCCATTTCTTAAGTTGTTGAATTTATGAAACTAAAGTTGTTCATAATACTTCCTGAATATCTTTTTAATAGCCGCCAGGTGTTTGGACATAATCTGTTTTTTCTTTCCTGACATCAGTAATTTGTGTCTTCTCTCTTACCTGCGTCAATCTTGCTAGAGGTTTATCAATGTTTTTGCTTTTTTTGTAAAGAACCAACTTTGTTTCCTTTATTTTCCTATTTTCAATTTTACTGATTTCTACTCTTTATTTTTTCCTTTGGGATACATTCTTATATCAGCCTTTTATATTACTTTGATTTTTAAAAAAATTATTCACCTTCTTTAATTTATATTAGTTTTCTATATTTTATGAATTTTTGAAAACCACCATAAATCTTTCTTTGATAAACAAACGAATAAAAACCCATGCAAGAATAAAAATAATTTCTATGTTATCTTTGCCTCATGTGGTAGAATAAACTTTGAATGTACTCTCCCGTTTTGCTGTGTAAAGCCAAGAGCATCACTTCATTTTTGTAGACTATACCACTCTGGCTCATGGAGAGCCTTGTTTTTATTATTGTTATTTTAATACCAAGGCTTAAATTTGTATTCCAAAAGAAGTAGCTTCCACATTTTGAGTTTTTATTGGCAGTTCTTTGAGGTTGGCTTGGTGACACTTAGCATTTATCCCCTGCCTCCTTCTGCTGTGCTACCCAAAAATAAATAGCCTGAGGGACAGAGCTCCATTCTCTTTCGTTTCATGTGTGTGGTCCCTCCGTTTGAACTTTTTCTTTGAGTAACTGATGCCAGTGTGTCTTTGACTCAAGTATCTGAGCTGTCCCCTCCCTTGATTGGCCACAACTAATCCTAAATCTAGTCTGTGCTAATTAGTAGTATTTCATTTAACCCTCACAAGAAACTCAGAAGGCAGTTACTATTACTCTCACCTTATAAGTGAGCAGGGCCTGTACAAGGGTCGGGTCTTGCTCAAAGCAGTCAAACAGCCTTGTGAGTAAGAGTTCATGCTCTAGTGCTGGAATGCCTGGGTTTGTACTTGGGATCTGAACTTCACTAGTTGAATACCTTAGGCAAACTACCTAACCCTACTAAAACTTAGTTTCCCCTCCTGGAAAACAGGAATAAACAACGATGTGGTTGCTGAGGATTAGATGCCATAATCCGTACTAAGTGTCCTAGAGCTCGTTCCGTTGTAATTTGTCAGTGAAGGTAGCTCCAAGTGTTGTTATTATTCCACTTAATAATAATTATTAAGCGGAAGAACTGGCATACGAATTCAGGGTTCTCTGACTCTCAAGTATGTGCTCATTGCTACACACGAGACAGGTGGAGACTGTGGCCAAACAGTCCATGGCTGTGATATGAGAGGCAGGACCTTTTATTTCTGCAGTTGAGAAGACTTGATGGTGGGGCTCTGGGTTCTAATTTCACCATCTCTTTGAACGACCTTAAATTATTTTGTCTGTTTTAAAGTTAATTCTTCACATTAAAATAGAAATAATAATACCTCTAAGAGTTGTGAAAACTAAAGATGTTTTATGTAAAGGGTCTAACCCAGTCTATGGCCCAAGTAGATGCTTAATAAATATTTTTGCATAGAAAAAGAATGATTGTAATAATGACCACTGAACTGATTACTCATGCAGCATTATAAATAAATAATTATGATAAACCAAAGCTGATTGTTCATCTAAAAACATCAACACGAGGTGACCTCTGGAATACCCTTGGCCTTTCAGGGAGGGGATCTGGTAAGAAGCCTGGTTCTTTCCCTTGTGAACTAAAATATTGAATAAGTGACAGAGAACATCCAACCACGGTATAAACCTCCCACAGAGACTCAGCGCCCCAGGCAAACGAATGTGCCCAGCCTTGGACAGAACACAGTGTCAACTAACCCCATCATTTGATGCTCTTGGCAGACCTGGTGAGCCCGCAGGCCTGAGGCTTGGGTGGATTGATCATTTTCATTAGATGAGGGCTGGGCGTTGGGAGCAAATTCCTTGGATTCAGTCAGACTTGGGTTGGAGTCATGGGAATAATGGTACTCATAAAGGGATGTGTGTGTGTGTGTGTGTGTGAGAGAGAGAGAGAGAGAGAGAGAGAGAGAGAGAGAGAGAGAGAGAGAGAGATCATGAGATGCAGGTAACCCAGTTTTCAGCGTGTTACCCTTTCCTCATTAGGTCAAGACTGAGAGTCAAGTGATGTGAGTTTTATTTTCAGCTCCATTGAGGACTGTATGGCTTCAGCAGAACCTACAGTTTTTCTGGGTTTTATTTTTCTCAGCCTGGAAAATGGCATGAAGCCCTCCTATTAGGTAGAGCTATAACGCAAAGTTAGTGTAAAGCTGGAGTCAGCAAACTTTTTTTTTGCAAAAGGCCAGAGAGTAAATATTTTAAGCTACCTGGGCCACAGTGGCCTCTGTCGGATGTTCTTTGTTGTTGGGTTTTTATAACCCTTTAAACTTATAGAAATCCCTCTTAGCCGGGCCGCAGGCTGTGCTTTGCAGAGCTCTGGTGTGAACTCCAGACTCTCAGACGTGGAAGGGGTCTTAGCCAGCACTCTTACCTGATAGCGAGAAAACGGAGAGAGTGGCCTTTCTGTTTCTTCTGTTGCTGTCAAAAGGATGGGTGCTGAACAAGTGCAAAGGATATTTTATTGTTTGTATTAGTCACATGTTTCAAGTAATACTTGTCTTTCTTTCAAAGTTCCACTGCAATTAGTGGGCAATAAAAGAAAATGGTGACAACGAAAGAAAAATAGCTTTGGAAATTTTAAGAATGAGAAATCAGATTTCTACTAATTTAATTCCTCCGGAAAGTGTTTCTGAAGAAAAATTCCCTGCTCAAAAAAACAGGAGATATAAAAACATCACTGCTGTGTGTGTGTGTGTGTGTGTGTGTGTGTGTGTTCTCTCTTCTTTACCTCCCAGTCCTGGTTTTAAGTTAGTATAGAAAAACTCATTTGAGGTCTTCTATGCATTTCAAAGAGATTTCGAGGTAAGGGAGGGCTCGCCATTCAGCCCTTAGATTCATGTTTATATCTGTATTTCTACTTTTCTCTTATTGTTTTGTTTATTTACTTAGCTTCAGCAGAAGGGGTAGAAAAAATTGTCATCGGCAAAGGCTTCTTTTCTCTCTCCCTTTCGCTTTCCCTTCCTTCCGTGTTCCCTTCTGTTTCTCCAGAGGTGGTTCTGGCATAGAACGTCCCTCAGTTACTCTCTTTGTTTGGTCACATTAACAGCATGTTTCTGGGCATTTGCTACTTTTGCGATGCTTTTGGTGCGTTTACTTCAAGAAAATGCTTTTCTAGGCTCTTAGTTAGGTGCACAGCCAAAGCCGAACATCTTTCTCTTAAGTGGCTTGATATCAACCCAGGCAATATCGAAGTAGTAAAAACGAATACACGAGAGGTGACTACGTGCCTTGTCTTATGGTGATACAAAATCAGCAAACCTCTGGCTGCCGCGATGACCCCTGGATAGTATGTACACTATGCAGAGAAGGAATATCACATCTGAATTAGCCAACCTGGTAAAATAGAAAGTATTCTGACCCGCAAATCAGGGGTCCTGTGTTAGTTGTGACCTTGGGCAAGTCATTTCAGCTCTCTGGACCTTTTTTCCATCTATAATGGCAGGGACTGGATAGATTTGGAATTCGTATGGTCTATGAATTTTGTGAGTTAACATAACTATATGCCAATCATTGTTTCTTTTCTTAAACAATTGTTGAAAAAGTGGTGGGATAATTAGGTGATTAGCGTTCTTGGATGAAAGAAAACGTTTGAAGCTTACTAGCTTAGTATAATTATCCATATAACTATATACATATGGCTCTTATTTATTGGATATTTACTGTATGCGAGGCATTCTGCTAAGTGTTTTACTTGGAATATCTCATTTAATACTCACTCCTCCTCCATAAGGTAGATATACTAATAACCTCATGTTAAGAAGTAATGGAAGCTCAAAGATATTAAATAATTTAAACTCAAATGTATTTTATTCCAAATCCCACACTATTAACACTTTTATGCTGCTTTTTTCTTATGCAAACTTCTACCTCATTCTAACAACAAAATCCGTCCGGTCACGTGTGATTTGGGAATGACATATTTGATTAAAATCTCATGTCTCTTTCCTCCCCTCTTTTCTTTCTTAGGCCACCTCGAGATTTAGACTCCAAAGCGTGCATTTCTATTGGAAATCAGGTGAGAAAAGTCATGTCTACCAGTTAATGTCTTGACCATTTTGTATGTATGCTTTCTGACCGCCCATTGAAAAATTTATATCCTGTAATATGCTGTCCTGGGATGGATCAGAAAGTTAAAATTTAAACAGAAATGGTCTGTGGAGCTCTTGATATTTTTGAAAGTCACGTTGAAATCAGGCTGTTGTGGTCCTGATGGAAGGTATTCGAGGAGAGTAATGATTCTTTTTGGGGTGCGGGTATTTCTCAAAGTCGAGGCATAAAGCTGGTCGCCATCAGTCAGAACATGGATTCCCTGTGTGTTTAAGGAGGCACGATGGAAGGAGCACAGTGTAGATAGCTTACACCGGGCCATTTGGAAGCTGAGCCGGAGTTGGATCTCTGTATTGCCTGTGACAAACAGGTGACATGCTATGGGAATCCCAGCGTCTCCCCACACTTTTGGCTTTCAGTGGCTTCTTGGAAGAGCATTTAGACCACTAGCGTCTTGACCAGAAATAATCCTTAGGACACTGGGAGAAACCAGAGAGAGACGACAACATAGTCTGTGTCGAGTTTCCTTTCTTCTTTTCTAGTGTATTATTTTTCTCTCCTGCAGAACTTTGAGGTGAAGGCGGATGACCTGGAACCTATAATGGAGCTGGGACGAGGTGCGTACGGGGTGGTGGAGAAGATGCGACACGTGCCCAGCGGGCAGATCATGGCGGTGAAGGTAGAGTTGATGTTCCCCAAACGTTTTCTATCTGTGGTGTATACGTTTGTCCATCTCAGTTGTAAGTCATCTCTTTTTATAGATGCAAAACAATCTTCAGTGGGGTGAAAGAGAAAAGATTATTTGTAGGAAAAAGTATTTCCCTCCAAATGTACGGAAAATACTTCCTTAACGTCATTTAATACCAGGCCCAAATTAAAATGACCTTGATTGTCTAGAAGTATTTTTTTCCTGTTAATTGTTCAAATTAGGATCCAAACAAAAGCTCACATATGTTGCATTTGTTGCTATGGCTCAAAAGTCTCATTTGTTCTATGTTCTATTTCTTTTAAAAAATTGTCCCTGAAAATCAAGAAACCAGAATTTAGGGGAAAAAAATTATCTCCATTTGTGGGGAAAAAGAAGGAAAGATACATTGGGAGTGAATTTGCATAGTTTCTACACTATAAAAAGAAATATATAATCATCACCTATTTCTTGAATAGATGCTGGAAGGACCTCAGAGACTTGCCATCTGTACATGAATTAATACAATCAGGCCATTGTTAGAAACGTGGATGGCTGGATGACTTGGATCCCGTGGTTTTGGGGGAATGGACCTCTCTTTCCCCTAGCCTGTAGATTTTTCAGTTTGTTCTTCTGCAGACTCTTTGCTAAGTTGGCAGAAAATGTGAAAGCCTGGTGATGTACCATTCCTACGATTTAATGAAATAATTGTATTTCTATAAGGCTACATTTGCTGGTGTGAGAAGTTTCTCTTCTCTCAGAAGCACTGGGATAGAAATGAAGGATTTCTCCATTTCTGCTTGATGCCTTCTGTTTCCCGCAGCTGTATCGATTCTCTTACAGTTTCTGTTTAGTCCAAATATTCTTACTTGCTCCCAAAGAGGGGGCTTCTGGCTTTGTTTGTAGGACTGCAGATCAGCTACAAAGTAATTAATACTTACGTGGCCTCTTTGCACTGAACAGACATAATACAGTGAACCAGACTGTTTTTGTAACTTGGGTATGCATTCTCAAACATTTGCACACTTTCCAAAGTATATTATCAGCTTGCTTCTTACAGGGGATTATTTGAGAAATCAAATGAATAACAGTCTTCCTCAGTTTTCTTTTGTTACAAATATCTAATCACTTAGGGTGGATGTTTGAAAGGTCGTTGCTAGACGTTGTGCCGTGAATTTTTGTGCTGTTTTCAGGATGGGACTCTGTGAAGGGTCTCTGCCTTATCAACTGACTCATCCTCAGAGCAGTAACCATACATTTTCCCATGCATTCCCATTCAGCGGATCCGGGCCACGGTAAATAGCCAGGAGCAGAAAAGGCTACTGATGGATTTGGATATTTCCATGAGGACAGTGGACTGTCCTTTTACGGTCACCTTTTATGGCGCACTCTTCCGGGAGGTAGGTGATCTTTCCACTCAAAGTCCGAGGAGAGCGATAACTTAAAAAGAAGGTTCTCGGATCACGTGAATGCCACACGTAGTCATGGTACTCTTTCTTGTTTGACGTGTCTCCTATTGAGAATTTTATACTTAGGCGTTGAAAACGCGATGTCCTGGTGCAAAGCTGGCTGGAAATTTGCTATTTTCAAATGTCTTGAGCTCCGTTAAAGGCACTGAGTTTCTCTCTTTTTCCTTTCTGTTTTGGTTTGTCTCTTTTGGCCAAACTGTCTATATCAATTGACCATGGACTGATTTGGATAGATTCCTTAAAATCTGAACTATTCTGACCTTTTGGCTACTTGATAAGCTTTACGTAGCCTGTTTGTGTACCAGGTAGATTTGCATTTATCTCTTTGCTTTACCTCTGTTTTTCACTTTACCATGACATGGAGTATGATGCTTCACCTCACTCTTAAAACCAACCTTTTGATTAACTATGGCCAGTGCTCCTTGTGAGCAGTCAGACATGGAGGAGGCATCTAGACTGAACTTCATGGGGGCAGTCTCAGTAAAGGCCTGGATTTCTAGGAGTCTTTTGCTTGTCTCTATCAGTCTTTAGATGCTAGTTTTCCTTAGAGAGTCAGTGATCACATGCCAGTTCTGCTCAGCTGTCTGTGTTTGCTCTTTGGAGACAATCCTGCTTGTTTATAAATTCCTTTGTGATCTTGAAGAGAAATTACACATTTCCTCCAAAAAACTCAAGCAAGAAGTAGTTCTTCCTGACAGGTGTTAACCATTTCCTCTTTTACTGTTTTCCAACAATCTCTTCACTAACAATCTCTGAACCAATTGGTCTCCAGGGTGATGTTTGGATCTGCATGGAGCTCATGGATACATCGCTAGATAAATTCTACAAACAAGTGATTGATAAAGGCCAAACAATTCCAGAGGACATCTTAGGGAAAATAGCAGTTTCTGTGAGTACATCATGAACCCTACAAGGAGAATGCGAGATGTCTAGGCTTCTTGTGTCTTTGTGTACTGGACCAAAGCTTCCATTTGGTACATGTTGAATGTAAGAGTGCATCTGTGGATGGATAAATGAATGCTTTTCTCTCCGAGCACTGGGTAGAAGATTCTGCCACTGGCTTGGTTTGGTAAATTCTCAGTTCCAGTGCATCTAAGCAGTGCATTGATCTACTATGACCATATCCCTGGCGTCTATATTCTGATATTAGTTTGAATTTTATTTGTGGATTTTTACATGTTTTCTTGGTACTAATAGGCATCAGAAGAAATGGAAGAAAATGAAATGGAATGAAGTTGTTGTTTTCCCTTAGAAGCTGTCGAGGTGCAGGAGGGTGGAGATATATGAGTTTATATCATAAATCTTTTTAGATACCAGTTTTGTAACTTCCTGGGTATTTTCTTGGATAGGACCACCACTATTTGGGAAAATACTTCACCTTGTGAGCTTAAGCCAGGGATAATAAACCTGGATGTACTTAACATTCAGTTTCTTTCCAGTGATGGAGGACATAAATCTACCCTGTGTTTCTCTTGCAGATTGTAAAAGCATTAGAACATTTACACAGTAAGCTGTCTGTCATTCATCGAGGTAAGCAACCATGGATGCGCCCTGGCTCTTGTTTTAGTAAAGTTTATTTCTTTCACTTGAGTTCCACTGTCTCCCCTCCCCCCACGCCCATGGATGGAAGTAGAATTGAGTTAGACAAGAGAACGGAGGGGTTTTCCCTTGGGATTGGATAGCAAATCCTGTAAGTACCTGTTCTTTATCTTGTTTGAGGACATTAGATGACATGGGCTTTATATCACCCCTAAATTAAGTGTAAACATACCTGTTCCCAAGTGGAGCTGTAGGGTTGCGCCATGGAGAATTTTAGAGAATAGGATAAAAATTCATCCAGTATTGGCCATCCCCTGGGAGTTCGTTAGAAAAGCAGAACCATGGCTCCCAAGACCAACTGACTCTGCATTTTCACAAGATCGCTAGAGAATTCTTGTGCACATTAAAGTGTGGGACGTTCTGGTATAAAGCACAGCATTTTCAGACAGCAGGAGGCAGGATAAAATGAAAACAAATTGGTAGATTTGTCTCTTCCTCCTATCCTTTCTTCCTTTTTCCTTCCTGTCGACCTTTTACCTCTTCATCCACCCACATATTCATTCTGCCATCTTCTCTCAGTCCCCATGTCCTTCCATGTATCTCTGATAATCATTTTCCAGCATCATATAGCTCTGTACTTTTACAGCACTATAATAGGTGCCCTGAGAGGTATCTGAGAAGAAAACATATTCATGTTAAAATTCTACATAGGAATTCTTGATAGAGAAATAAGCAGCTATACAGCAAGCACATGGAAACATATTAAAATCATATTAGAAAGTACCAAAGATAGGAGTGGTGTAGGTAGAATGTAAAACAAGGACATGATTGGCCCCCGTGACAGTCATCAAGAGAGGCTTCTCGGAAGAGAGGCGCTCAACCAGGTTTTTGGAAAAATTAATGGGAAGTATTGATAGCGATAGGGCACTGTGATTTGGTAATTTTCACACTCTTTGAGCCTGAAAATAATGTAAAATGCCTCAAAGAGTGTGTCGGGTACTATTGTTATTAAAAATTGGAACAATAGGAGAGAGGAGGAGGAGGGGAAGAAAGTGGCATGGAATCTAGGTAGGAAGACGACTATGGATACCAGCAAATGTGAAACTGATTTTTAAGGGTCTATTTCAAAATTATGAAATATTTCATTCATGTTGGAGAATGAATATAAAAGTAAAAAAATAATAAAATGAACTGGGTATATCTGCCATTCCATTTAAGGGAAGAGTTATAAAAGATGATGTAAAAAGTTTTTAGAATAATATTTTTCTTCTGATTATATATTCTTTGTGAAAAATGTCACAGGGAAAAAATTAGCTATAATTTTTAATTTTATCGTCCAGAGATAATAGCGATTCATCTACTTGACGGTAGGGGTAGGTGTGCTATTTTTTCCAGGCTGAAGGGTTCATTTAAGAACTATTCAGTAATACGTATATATTCTGTAACCTGCGCCCTGGTCTGGAATATCTGGGTTCATGATGAGTTATACACTGTGGGACTTCTGACATACTTCTTGCAGAAGATTCATTCAAAATTGGTTGCTTCGATTGTATTTGGTGTATGATTATGTCACGGTACGGCTTTTTATTCCGTGATCTCTGTCTAGAATTTATTCATCTTGCATAATTCAGACTGTGCCTGTGGAACTTGGCATTGATTCCGTAATAATTTTTTAAGTTACTAGATGATGGGGACAGTGAAGATGATAAAACAGAGGAAACAGTTCTTTCTACTGATAGATTCACAATCCTACAAGAAGGAAAAACCGTAAAATAGAAAATCAAGTCGAAAGCAAGAAGAAGCATGTGACCGAGTCAGGGCTGGCATTGACTTTTATGTTGGGTGTGGGGAGAGGAAGGTGAAGGAGAAATGGAGGTTTCAGGCCCTCTGGTGGCAGAGAAATGAATCTCCAAAGCAGACGCTCAGGACGGGCTCCTATTTGTTCTTGTTTCAGATGTCAAGCCTTCCAACGTGCTGATCAATACTCTGGGCCAGGTGAAGATGTGCGATTTTGGAATCAGTGGCTACCTGGTAGACTCCGTCGCTAAAACGATTGATGCAGGATGCAAACCATACATGGCCGTAAGTACAGCAGCCGGGAGTGGTGTCTGAGTCTGCAGCCTGTGCCAGGAAATACGCATTGGATGGCTACAGAGGGAAATTGAAATGCAAAAAATAGTCTACAGTCTCCTTTTTTTCTTAAATGTTTCCTGCCTGAAATCCTTAGTCACTTGCTTCATATATATTATTTTTAAAAAATCAAGTAAAAAGGTATATTATTTGGAAAAAACGTGTGAATAACACATACGGCCCACACAGTCGCAAGGGATTGTTACTTTGTTGAGGATAGACCAGTAAATAGAATTTAAATGACCCAAATAAGTCAGTTAGGTTAGTCCTGAGAGAAACTCGTAGCTGTGAAGATTCGTTGGCATTAGCAGAGACCTTGGGACCCTCTTAAAGGATTTCTACTATATTCTGTTTTAAAATGGACTTGTACTTGGCATTGAAAAGCTTCCTGTCCCTGTTTAGCTAAAATCTGTTTCTATGTTTTAACACCAGACAGTACTGCCCAGTGACTCTCATTAATTCTTTTTCCTGAGTTCGGGACTGTCGGTGTTTTTAAGAGGGAACATTCTATGCTGGCAAATTAACTTTATAACACATATCCTGTTTCTTCTGCAGGCAAAATTGAAATTAGTTATGAATTGCGAGAGCTTTTAGATCTATTACTCTCTCCAAGAAAAGACTACTGCAGAATAAGGAAACCCTGTGTAGCCACCCACCCCAGAGAATTTATCAAGCGCTGAATGTCACTCGATTGTCTGTTTCTGTCTTCTTTCCAGCCTGAGAGAATAAACCCAGAGCTCAACCAGAAGGGCTACAGCGTGAAGTCTGACATTTGGAGTCTGGGCATAACGATGGTACCGTATGCCGACCGCCGTGGACTGGGAGGTTCTGGGCTTGAAGCTGGGGTGCAGCGGGGAGTTGAGGCCCGGAGGCAGATGCCCCTAAAGCCAGTCTCGGGTAGCCCTTCCTGTGTGAGGTAGCAGGAGACCATGTGCCCAGTGTTTGCGAGACGGCATAGGAGAAATACTGCACTGGGATCGGGCAGACCCAGTTTCTCTCTATTTCGTCTCTAACCGGTGTATGCCCCTGAGTAAATGGTGGAGTTGCAGGGACTGTGTTATTGTCCTCATCCGTAAAATGAGAGAGTCTGATTGTAGTTCCTGATGGTGTCTTTAAAATTAAATTATTCTAATCAAGGCACAAAAAAGCATAAACTCCCCCGAGAGTGCTACTATGTGTGGACCTTGAGAGAGCTGTGTGCTCCAGGACGCAGGCTGTGCTTCCCAGGATGTGGTTATGATGGAAGTCTTGGCTGTTGAGGTCAAGTACAGCTAAAAGACACGTTGAACAAGATAATTTCCACAGGCACAGCCTGAAAGCTATACTCTTAGTGCCTTACTAATAATGTCGGTGGCCATCAGTTTTCAGTGTATCACCAAGGTCTGAAATTATCCACTGTGGCTCCTCTCCAGGTGGAGCAGCTGATTAAATCCCCGAGTTATTTCACATCCCTGCCCAGGCGACATGTGATCTTGTAACAGCAAAGTGGCCTTTACTCACGTCCAAAAAAAGATCAGTCATTTGGTCCTAGGTTATTTATTTTTTTTCATTGCAGCAAGGGACCTGCAGATGGCAGCAGATACACAACTCTGTAAAAGTCTTAGTGGGAGAATTGCTTTTCACATGAAACATTTGAAAATCTGGTCGCTTTACATCTAGAAGTTTAATACTGCTGGCTTACAATTTTATTGAGTATCACAGTGGGTTTTAGTGAGGACCCAGTAGACTTAGTAAGGTAATATTTGAAAATCCCTAGCACTAAGAATCGGGGAGAAATCCTTCAGATTTTACTTGAACTTGACCATTGTTTTTCCTGCCGGTTCTTCTGGAGGAAGACACCACGGACTCCATAAAATGGCCCCATTTAAGCTGTCATCTCCTTGTGCTCCTGTCTCCTCCAGATTGAGTTGGCCATCCTTCGGTTTCCCTACGATTCATGGGGAACTCCCTTTCAGCAGCTCAAACAAGTAGTAGAGGAGCCGTCGCCACAGCTCCCAGCAGACAAGTTCTCCGAAGAGTTCGTTGACTTTACCTCACAGTGGTAAGAGAGCCTCGTCTCCCAGGTGCCGGTGATAAGGAAGACGAGGCGGACTCATGAATTTCCTTTATCGGTTTTAATCCATCACGCGTACATTCCTTCCCAAGGCATTTATGGAGTGTGCCCTCGATGCTGGAGCAACAAAGAGGCCTCTGCCAAGTCCCAGCCCTCAGTGAGCTCAGAGTCGAGTAGGAGCATCTCATCAGTGAATAATTACAGTACGATATGGCAGGCCCAGTGATAGAGAGATGCGCAGAGTATATAGGGAACTCAGGAAAGGCAATAGGATAGAGTTTCTGGAGGAGATAAATTCTGAGTGGAGACCGTGTGAGGTATTTCCCAAGTGAAAGGCAAGCGGGGGAGGGAAAGGTGTTCTAAGCAGAAGGGGTATCATGCACCACGTCACGAAAGGGAGAAACTCCCTAATGAGAGCTTTAAGCAGTTGGGTGTTGATTAGAGCAAAAAGAGGAAGATGGCAGGATCTGTTGCAGGTCCAGGGGTGGGGAACAGGTAAGATACAAAGAGTCACCTTAGATGAGAAGACAGTGGATAATTTCAGAGTGTTACTTAGGTAGCCGGAGTCTTGCAGAGTAGTTCTGGTGTTTTGAAGGCTTCCTCCTACAGAACACTTGCTAACAGTGGATACACGGGCCCATAAGGGAAGGATGGACAGTATGAGAGGTCTGAGAAAGGAGTCTCAAGAGGGTTGGAATGGAAAGACAAAAGGAGCCAGGCTAATGCTGTAAGCTTTATTTTCATGGGAATTGTCAGTAGAATCAAGGGAAGTAAGAGAGGGCATCGTTTTCTCCAGAAAACCGATTGGTTTCTGTCTGCATAGGGACCACGATGCCTGACATAACTTGATGCTAATGATCATTGCAAGTGATGCTGGGAGGTGGATGTCAAAAGACAGGCACAAAATGGAGCGAAGTTAGTTTATTTGGGCATCGTGCAAAACCGGGTGAGAATTGGGAGGAGGAGGAATCGGCGACGGTGACAAGCCCAGCTGGGACCCTCGTCGAGGAGCCGTTCTGGCCACTTGCTGCTGAGGAAGGGGTGGAGTTCTGAAGGCTGTTTGAGAGGACAGCTTCCTTGGCCTCCATGTTCTCTGGAAGAAGTGTTCTGAGTACAGCTTTTATTGGAAAACATGGTGGGACAAAGCAACCATCCATTGCTTGTGAAACTAAAGGCTCTTGGACTTTTTATTAGCTCTCGGCCCCATGTCACCCCTGGTACTTTTCCCTAATGATATATTGTTTGTTTTTGTTTTGACCAAATGGCCAGAGAGGGGCTGGAGCACCGGGCCCTAGCGTGTGAGGGCTCTAGTGTCCCTTCCAGTACATTGTTGGGTGCCTCTTAGTATGTACCGTACCCCCTGAGCTGCCAATGTGTGCCCTTTTATCTGCTTTCCCTGAGCGAGTGTGGATGTGGGGGTGTGCCTGCCAGGTTGTGATGGGCTCATGCTTATGCTTTCCGGATTCAAGAACTTTTATTTTTTTCTTACCCTCAAATGTTTAAAGGTCACACAGGAAAAGGGATGAGTCACCTTGGATAGTTCGGACCAGTCATTCTCAAGTGGGAGGTAATGGGAAGAGTTGTATCTAGGGAAGTCTTTTCACATGCTCCTCCCTGTAACCCACTTCTCCCTCACCCTACTCCTGTTCCCCAAGAATCTCGGTACTCCAGAAAACTTTGGTGAAAACAAGGCTGATGTGAACAGTTCTAGAAAGTCGAGACACCTTTTGTGAATCACCAGTTTAATCTACTAGTTCTCAACTCTGGCTGCTCATTTATAAAACGCGAGAGAGCTTTCCAGTGTACTACGCCTGAGCCTCACCCTCAGAGATTCTGATTTAATTGGCCTGGGGAGCGTACTGAATGTCAGTATTCAAATGTTGTCACATCATTCTAATGTACAGCTGGGGTGAGAACCCCTTCTTTAGACTTATGATCAGTGGGCCCACTATCAACTGCTTCCTGTTCAGAAAACTGCTTTTCTTCTACAATTTTTTTTTTAATCATTCCATTACATTTTGTTTATTTCAAGTATACAGTACATTGATTAGATGTTTATATAGTTTACAAAATGATCCCTCAATGGCTCTTTCCTCTGGCGCTTCACCTGGCCATGACATTAATGCTGACTGCATTCCCTATGTCGTGCTCCCCAGCTCAGTGACCATCTGTCAACTACTAATTTGTACTTCTTTAACCCTTCACCCCTTTCTCCCTCCCCTCTGGCTGTCACCAAATTGTCCTCTATGTTTGTGAGTCTGTTTTTGATGAGTTTGTTCATTTTGTTCCTTAGATTCCACATATGAGAGAAATCATATGGTATTTATCTTTCTCTGTCTGACTTACTCCACTCAACATAATAACCTCTAGGTCCATCCATGTTGTTGCAAATGGTAGGATTTCATTTTTTTTTAATAGCCGAGTAATATTCCATTGCATGTGTGAACCATAACTTCTTTATTCAGTTGTCTGCTGATGGGCATTCAGGTTGCTTCCATATCTTGGCTATTGTGAATTGTGCTGCCATGAACGTAGGATGCATAGATCTTTATGAATTATTGTTATGGTTTTCTTTGGATAAATACCCAGAAGTACAATTGCTGG